CCACACGGCGGGAGCGGGGCTCGGGCCGGGAGGCCTGGAGGCGCTGAGGGGAGCGGTGCGGGCAGTAGTCCGGCTGCGGGGGAGATGGAGCCGGGCTCCGCTCTGCGCCAGCCCTCCGGCCGCCTGCGCGGGGGCTTTTCGGGGTGCCCAGGGCCAGCCGGGTCTTGGGTGCTGGTGGAGGAGAGCTAAGCCAGGGTGGATTTTTAGGTAGAGGGTCTTAGTTTTACACTGCCCTGTGTTTTAAAATGCTGGACGAGCCGCAGCCGCTTGTCGTCTTTCATGTGGTCCAGGCATCAGAGCCGTGAGATTCCCGGAACTTTTACCTGCTGAGATGCTTTCTTTAGCCTCCTGCCTGTATGCCTTTGAGATCCCCGTGCTTTGGCATTTGGTGAGCAGGGAGAGTTGAGTAGAGCAGCCGATGTCCTGCTGGGAGGGAGCTGCCTTTTGCTTGTCATAAAAGCCGTATGATCTCTTTGTTTCTCTGTTCTTTGGACTCTGTTGGCAGTAAATTCCAGATAACTGGAGTAGAAGGAAGTTGCAACCTGTGAAACCAGAAATGCACAGCTGAAGGTTTAGAGACAATCTATGTCGGGGCTTAGCTGGGTTCCTGGTGCTATAATTATTTTTGTAGGCTTATTAGCTATGTGAAAGGCATAGACTGAAAAGCTGGGATGTACTTAAAGGTTTGAAAGTTGTGTTTTCACATTTTCACGTTTTCTTTCCATTTTAGGCCACATCTAGACTCCTGGTGAACTACCAAGAACCTTATCGCTCCCAGATTTTAGATTACCTGTTCAAGGTAGAGTTGGTTTCACTGCTACAATGTTTAAGTTCATGCAGAATTTCTTATTGTGTAATTTTGGAACTCCTATAGTATATTCAGTGCTGCTGAAATGAGACAAAATCCCATCTCGTAAAGCATCTGTTTTAATGTTGATTGTTATCAGAACCTTAAATTTTTGGTGTTTTGTTCAGGAGTTTGTTCAGGAGACTTTCTTCATATTGTTGTGAAAATTCCTTTTGTGTTTTCACAATGTGGTTTGAAAATATGTTTTCAAAAATGTGTTTAACCATATATTTGATCATCTGTGTGGGCTAAATCATAAGTCTTTTCTGATGGGGGGTTTAGTTGTTCGTAGTGATTGAAAGCAAGGGGGTCTTAGAGACAGTTTGGATTTTTTTGGAGTACAGATAGATTAACATAGCATAAAAATGACAGTGCAGACTGCAGGTTTGTAACAGCAAATCTATTCCAAATTAGTCTCAAGAACAACTGCAGTGGGTTTAGAAGGTATAGGAAGTTCATTGGTTTGTAAGCTGTGTTAGTTAGCAAGTGTAACCTGTGGAGTTACCCAACTTAATGTATGGTAAGATTATTGCAGTGGACATTAATAGCTTGTTTTGCTTTTGGCACTGTAAATTACTCTGCTGGAAGAGGATGTCATGTCACTTTCAAGTAATGCAATCCAGATGGCTGGAGGGGAACAATTTACTATGCAGTTTAAAGAATTAATTTTCAATGGTAGAGTAAGGCGTAATATGTGCCTGGGGAATCAAAGCTGGTTTTTTTGAGACTAAAGCTGTGTGTTACTAATATGAATGTTCTGATTAGGCATGTGGTAAAAGAAAATCTAGAGAGATCATGATTTTAAAAGAATTTTTGATGTGCTCTTTTACCAATGTTGATGTTACTCTTAAACTGTCATGTCTGGGAGGGGTGTACCTTGCCTCTGTCTCCTTGTCTTTTAGAGTCAGTCAACTTTCATGATGGAAATGGGAGAACAAATGTGTTAGAAGTTTAAAACAAAAAATGTCAAAAAGAGGAATGGTAAATTGGTAATACTTATTTTGCTGTAAAAAGCAAACAAAAATCCCAACTTGTAAGTCAAAAGACATGTCATCTGTGCTGCATTTTATGCAAATCAAATTGCATTCTTATGTCTTAAAACATTTTTTTTAGATACCAAAATTATACTTGGGTCATTCCATGCAGGAGGCCAGCTTATTAGTGGTTATTAAGATAATGATTAATTGTAAGTTCTGACTTGAGCAGCTCTTAAGCCACTAATGGCTAGAAGAACATATTGGCAGTAGAATCACTTGTATGAGCTTGAATTTTGTATTTGGCTTCACCAGTCAGATGCCAGGGGAGGGGTATAGTGGACTAGCCAATTGTTTTCCAGTGATGAGTTTTTTCCTCTCTTGCCTGTTTGTAGTTTCCAGATTATTCCTGATCCGTCATGTATGCTCTTTCACATAACCTGTGTAACACTTTACAAAAATGAATAAAAAATACCAACTTCAGCAATTTGATTTTAAAAGGAAACAAGTTTGACTTCTAATATCATTAAAATACTGCTGCTTTCCTCATATATTCTCTTCTGCTTTCATAGTACTTTGGCATTTTCTTGAGCACAGCCTATTTAAAATCTGCATGGTTGTGGAGAAGTGTTGTTAATGGTGCAAGAGTCAATGAAATTATTGAAAGACGAGTGTACTCTTTATCCTGGTGGATTTTCTTTTGAAAAGCAGAAATTTATATAATCTCTCATTACATTTATAATGTAATTTATATTACATTTTATGCATATTATTTTATACATATTATTTTATAATATAATTTATAATTATAAATTACATTTATAATTAATTTTATAATGGTTTAAAAAAGTAAAACAATTGCAATTTCAGCGTGCTCAAAATTATACACTTCTCTTATTCTTCTTGTTAACAGCAGGATTCTATCTGTTCTTCTGTCTCTTTTTTCCACAGCCAAATTTTGGTGCTTCTTTACATATTCTCAAGGTAGAGATTGGAGGTGATGCCCAGTCAACAGGTATGGATTTTGCATGAGCAGCATTTAACTGCTCATTTCAGTGATGCTGTAAGTAAGGTGTGCTGCACATGGAGCTGAGGAATGGAGATAGCTGAACTGAGTTGCAATAAACCCTAATGCCTTGTACAAGAGAGATTTACACCAACATTCTGGAAGCAGTTCTCACTATCATATGGTTAATAGGTTGCATTCTAAAGCAAGTGAGTTCTTTTTTTTCCCCCTACCATAGTAGGTACTAGGTAGGTTTCTGAGCATTTCTCACACACAAGTTTTGCAATACCAGCTACTTAGTCTTAAAAGCATGAAATGCAAAGGCATCTGATCAGAAGCAGTTACATTTCTTTTGTTTAATTAGCTGCAACATTTCACTGGAGTGGCATTGGCTGGCAGTAGGCAGTATTTTTTTTCTTCCAAAGAAGGGTTGCAAATGAAATGTCTTGATGTAATTTGCCTAGCCTACCTACTATATTTACATACAGGAGAAACTATTTAGTAACTGGTTGTGACCAAAAGCTGAGGAGCAGAGACTGCAGCTTGGGTTTTTTTTATTTTTTTTGTGTGTCTTTTTCTCAAAGTAAATCTGGTCACATCAGGATCAGACTTAAAACCAGACACAGTTAATAAATAGAAAGCATAGAATCTGATTTTGTGTTGTTACATATGTGTATATATATATCTGTGTATATATACTTGTATGTATATATATATACATTTTTCCCCTGTAATGTCTATGTTTTGTATAATTAGATACTGTTTTTCGTTCTTGTGTTTACTTCACAAAAATTGACATGATGAAAAGTACTGTACTGGGTTTAAGAGCTTGGCCATGAATTGCTGGGTGGGGGTAGTGAAATCGTCTTCAGGCATGCACAAACCTCTTCAAATGTTCTTACTGCTGGCTAAGGAGAGTGTCACATACTTGTGTGATAGTTTCCAGTTCTGAAAAGGAGAACAATAAGATACATATATCTCAGTGCACTAGACTGCAGCTCTTCTTCTGGCCTCACAGGTGTGATCAGGAGTTCATTTGAAAAATGTGATACAGAGCCTAAATTTGGAATCTAGTTGTTTCATGTTCCTGACAAACTTACATGTAGCCAAGTGTTGGTAAGGTAAAAAAATGAATCCTGTTTTCTGTAATGAAATGTGCTGTTTCAGCAGGCTTCATTTAAAACAAAATCTCATTAGAAGAGCTCTCTGCACACAATTTAACATCAGTTGCATAATTGTTGCAGTCATGTACACAAGTTGCAACTTGACTTTTGTGTGTAAGGACTTTCCATGCAACACTGGTTCTTTTGCGCCTTTCTAGTTTGTTTACCTTTGCCTGAGGAAATTCAGCACGTAGCATTCAATTCCAAAAAACTTTTCCTGCAGTCACAGAACACAAAAAGTTGTAAACTACATATTTTACTGTAAAAATAAAAAACCACACACCCTCTTTCCTGTAATTGAAAAAAATTCATGGTAGTTCTGTCTTTTCTCTCACTGGATTTGCCTTGTGCGGAAGAAACAAACTATAACCTTCTTTTATTTATTTTTTGGTTTAGAGATATCTTGCTTGTATAATAATTTCTTTTCCTCTTAATCTTAATGCTGTAACATTCATAGTGGTTGTTAATGTCAAGATATGAGACAATAGCAAATAAAAATTTAGTGTTATCATAGCTAGAGATAGAAAATGCGTAATAGCTAACCACATCTGATGTTAAAAGCCAGCAAAAACCCTTCAAAATAAAAATATTAAAATTATTCTAAGTTAATATGCTAAGAATGAAGGGTATTTGCATTTATGTCCCACTATTCCCTTGGCTTTGAAATACATACCAAGGAACTTGTGAACCATGTTGGAGATATGTGCTTGCATACTATGTTAATGAGCAGTGCAGAAAACTTCATGATGTGTAACAGCTTATGACACAGAAGATAATTGTGAGCTACCTGTCTCTTTCCTTCCTAGATGGTACTGAACCCTCCCATATGCACTATGAAAATGATGAGAACTACTTCCGGGGCTATGAATGGTGGCTGATGAAAGAAGCTAAAAAGAGAAACCCCGAAATTAAACTGATTGGTAAGTTATTTTGAGCTTTTAGATTTAAATGGCTTTTTATACCCCTGACTAAATTACCTGTCTGTCCCTTAATCAACATTTTAATTGGGAGATGTTTTGATTTTTCAGTAGACAAAGTAGAATCTCTAATATTTGTTCAGCTTGTCTTGATGCTTACCATGTTTTACCCTGTACAATAGTACAACATCCTGACAAGAAGCACAACAAATATCTAATAATTTGTTTGTATTAAGTAAATAAAGTTTTTAGTGTATCGCAGCAATGAACATGATTGATTTATCATGAGAGATAAATTCCCAAATAATTGAGTAAAAAAAACTGGGAGGGATAAAGTAAATCTTACTGCAAGTATAAATGTGTAAATCTTTCACACACTGCATTTGATTAAATGTTCTTATTACAAACCAATCAAACACTTCCTCTTTACTGTAGTGATTCTGGTCTTCTGGTTTGTCCTGCATCTGTAGTTGAGTTGTAAGAGGAGTTTCCTTTCTTCCTGTTTTAATTGTGAATTGTGTGTGTGCTGTGACAATGCAAATGTGGAACCTTAGGTTGTTTTTTTGTATTTTGGAAATACAAAATGTATTTCACACGAAACAAGGTAAGGAATCTGTCGGTTAAAAGATGTCTAATTTCCCCACCTTCCAGTGGGCTTTACCATATCCAGCCATGAAGCAAGGCTTGGTGCAGGATTTGCCAGTCAGGTTCTGTTAAGCTTACCATTTATGACTAATTGTAATTACTAATTGTAATAATTAATAATCCCTCTTCCCTCACATCAACTTCTCAACAAAGGAAGGATGATTTACTTTTGAATTAGCCTATGGTATCATATACAAGTTGACTGGACACGTAGCAGCATCTGGTTAGATTAATTTGTTTTTCTTACTTACTGCAAGATCCAGGGAGCAGCTGAGACTTAGAAATGCTTTTTCATGATCCTAATCTTCCTTCCTCTCTTATGATTAGATCATCATGTCTTCTGAAATTCATCTCTGGGAGAGAAACAATTTTTCATGTTCTGGATTGACCCTTTGTCTTTAGCTTTGTAAATTTTTATCTTAAAATCTTTGGATTTTTAAACCCGTTAGAGCTAGTACCATAAAATTGACAGATTATATGCAGTCAGTTTTTCCCTAATAACAAATGTTTCCTAGCTCAGAAAACAAAAGTAGCTATTAATTGCTTGATCATAATTTGTATTAGACCATACTCTGCAGTAAGATAAGTTACATTTCATTGTCTTCACTGGAACCAAGCAAGTTTCAAGTGCATATCTGTTCCTTCATTTTAGGTAGAGAAAATTACAGCTTGCTCTTGAAGCTTGTTGAATAATGTAGAGCAACCACTTACCTTATTCATTTGGTTTTCTTCTCTCTTTCCAGGATTACCTTGGGCATTTCCAGGATGGATAGGGAAGGGAGAAAATTGGCCCTATGACTATCCAGATATCACTGCTTACTATATTGTTTCTTGGATATTAGGAGCAAAACAGTATCATGATTTGGACATTGATTATATTGGGGTCAGTAAAGAAAAATCTTCTGTATATTTTGTGTATATTTTATCTATCTTAACTCCTAAAATCTTGGTCTTGCCTCTCTTTATTGATGACTGGAGGAAGAGGAGGAGGATTGCAACAGAATTTTTTTTTTGTAATTGCAGATTTGGCTTGTACTGTTGCTAGGGGAAAGGCAGCAGTTGTGTTAGTTTACAGTCTTCCTGAAATTATGGCTGTTAAAGTAGAACAAGTGTCAAATGGTTCCTACCTTCCCAGTTTTAAAACAAAGTTACCAAAGAATTTGAGAGTTCTTTTACCTTTTCTACCTTGTTTGTTCTGCTTGTGTTTCAGCAGTTATCAGATGACAAAAAACATCAGTTAACAGTTTGAAAGTCAGCTAACATGACTTAGCATAAAACATGGTTGTTATTTTGCAGAGGAGCAATCTTTTACAACTTTTTCCATTATTACCTGCATTATTAGTAGATAAAAGTGTGTATTTTACAGTACAACTACTGTGTTGTCCTATAGTGCATTATATGGAAGCAGTGAATGAATGTCTGAGAAAAAATGTCATAAATTGGAGATGAGATAGAGAAGCAGACAATCTGAAAAAACCCTTCAAGTTCACTATTTGAGCAAGAAAGTATGTCTAGGATTCCTCTAAAATAAATCCTGTACTTACTGGACACTTATTTTTGACTCTTAAATGTCTTGATATGAGAAGTTTAGCTGCGGAAAAGCTGAAAATCACTTCAGCAGTCCAGAACAAAGCTTCAAAAACTGTGGTTCCTATCCCTCAGAAGTCCGACCTTTCTGCTGCAATGTGGGAAGGTGTTCCTCACTAGTATCTCCTCAGGAATGCATCCCCTTGAGGCTGCTAGCTTATTTCAGTTAGATCAGTCCTGCACTGTGGGTAACATAGTGATACTTCAGCAATTCAGCTGTGGGGACAGGGAGAGCAATTGCTGTTAGATTTTTCCCTGCCCTGTGTTCTTTTAGTAGAAAGTAAGTTCTGCACTTCATGTATTTGAGTAATGTTGACTTCGGTGTTGTTACTTCACAGTGATTAGCCTTCTAAATTTTCTCCTTGTAAGAAAAGGGAATTTTGGCTTATCCAGATATGGTCTCATTTCTTTGTGGATCTGAAAATAAATCTGAAATACAGGGAATCAGTGAGAGGTCTGTGAAGGCTGAGAAGCTATCAAAACAATTTCAATGCTATTATGGTTGTACATGGTTAGCCTTTACCACTCTTTCTGCTGTAAGTATATGTTCTGTATCGCTATTTGCTTTATGATGAGATGAGCCTTTCCTTAAGTAATGTTTTGATTGACTGATTTCTGAAGTTTTATGTTAGCATTTATAGAAAGATATAGAAATATCAAAATCGATATTACTTACCCTATCTATAGGAAAGTGCTTGTACCTCACCGGGTAATCTAAACCTTTACTGGTGCATGTGAGTTGCAGTGTTCATGCTGTGGTTGGAAAAGAAAGAAACAAGATTTCTGCCTATGTCTTTTTGGTAGAAAGGAAGACCAGTGTTCAGGCTTTTGAATTTTGAGCTGTGTTTTGTTTAAACTCTCTTTCCATAAAAGATGAAAATTTCGAAATGAGTTAATTTTGTGTCTGTTTACTTAAAATATGCTGTATCTCTTTTGTGTTCAAGCTTGGATATAGTCCTGTGTAAATTAGAAAGAACAGTTATCTTTATCGATTTGTTCAGTGTGTGAGTTACTCTCATGCTTGTATGCCCATGTATTGCAACAGGGGCCCATTCATTAGGCCACGCCTTGAAGCCACAATGAATTTCTCAATGTTTCTAGCAAACTATAGGGTGATTGGTAATGTAACACTGCTGCCATTGTAGAGCTCAAGCAGCTCTAGCATTCTTGTCAGCAAGAAGGAAATCAGGGGACCATAGAGAAAGATTAACAAGCACCTTACTATGAACTTTCATAAAGAATTTTCCCCAGAAAAGCTGATAACAAAACCAACCAGCACTTCCCTCTAGCACACGGAAACCGTAGAGTTGATTAATGGATTCTATAATCTTACAGATATATATATATATAAATGAAATCTTTAATTCTCCATTGACATATCCTGATTTTTCTAAATGGATTTTACTTTCTCTTTATAGATATGGAATGAAAGGGCATTTAATAGCAAATACATTAAGGTATGTATTATTTTCTTATTTCTGTGGAGTGCTTGTCCTACTGTGTGCAAACAATTAGCTTTTCTGAATTTGCGTAGGAAAGGGACCTTAATTCTGCAACTATATCACTTACTGAACTCTGTTTCTTGTGGTTGCATGCATGGAAAGATAACATGTTCCGATATTTAGATTGTTTATTTTGTGTATCTGAAACTGTTATTTTGGACTATTATTTTGGGCACGTCAGTGTATGCTAAATGCTAGGTCTGCTAAATGTTAGTGGAAGCTTTAATGAAAGCTAGTTGATGCTACTATCATACAAACTCAAATCATCTTTATAGTGGCTTGGATATAGCTAGAAGCTAGAAGATCTAGAATTGCTTGAAATTCTGTCTCTTAAGTTCTGTGATTACAGTGCCCCTAAATATTGCTATTAAACCACAGTAAAGGCTCTGTGTTTTTAACTTTGCAAAATTCAGTACCATTTGTTTGAAAAAGCTGTAGGAACACAGTATTTCACATAACCAACCTTGAGATAGCTCTAATATTTTTCACTACTGAATGCTCCTGCAGCCCACCAGCCCTGCTTTGAAAACTCTCTTCTGTTTGTTACATTGTCTTGCAGTGAAATCTTAAGCAAAAGCTTCTGCTTTGTTCCTTTCCTTGTTGTTGCTTTGAGACTAAGACACAATGGCATTACCTCTTAAAAACAAGCAAGACTCAGAGAATCATAGAATGGCTTGAGTTGTAAGGGACCTTAAAGATCATCCAGTTCCAATCCTCCTGCCATGGTCAGAGACACCTTCCACTAGACCATGTTGCTCAAAACCTCATCCAGCCTGGCCTTGAACACTTCCAGGGATGAGCATTCCCATCCATTCCCCCTTGTCCTATCATTACATGCTTTTGTAAACAGTTCCTCTCCATCTTTTCTTGTAGGCTCCATTCAGGTACTGGAAGGCAGCAATTTAGTCACCCCCAAACCATCTATTCTTCAGGCTGAACAATCCCTAATCTGTGTCATGTCACCATGAGGCTTTCTCATCTGCTTGTCTTGGCTTCCTCAGTGGAGAAAAAGAATATGAACAAACTGTTGAGTCTAGGGGAAACATTCGACTTTATAGCTTTTTGAATACTGTTGAATTGGGACTGAGCATTTGGCTTCTAGAGCTGAATATTTAGTTTAAAATTTGACCTTAAAATCACACAAATATTTAATGAAAAGTTTTCATTAAACATCTCTTTTACCGTTTATTCTCTTACAGTGTCACTTGGCACCACTTCTCTCATCAGCACAATAGTTCTGTTTGCACTCTGCCATTTCACAAGAGGTCAATATACTGAAATGTACTGCTACACACCAAACTTTTTTTGTGATTCCTGTTAAGTACATCACAGATAAGCTCTTAGTTATCTGGCTAAATTTTTAGTTGTGAGATGTTATTCTAGATACTTCATCCACTGAGATGCTAGTTATGTTTCTTAATAATTAAAAAAAAAAGAAGAAAGAAATGGAGGTTCTAATGCTTCTAAATTCTTCAAGAAGACCCTGTTCTTTTAGTTATATGAATAGTGGGTGTGAGAGAGCTATTCTGCATGTGTTATTGTGGAGTGCATTTTGGGTGCATGCAGTTCTGTGCCCTTGGTACTTCCCTTTCAGCATGGAAATTGTGCAGCCATTCATTTTGTTTTTCTGAGCTGTCTCTGTGGTTAGGCAATTTTTCTGAGTATCTAGGTAGCTACAATGCTTTAATTTACAAGGACCTTTTAATATTATGAATTTTGCTTTTGGTAGACTTTTTGTTTCAAAGGTTTCAAACAGCTGAACAGACTTCATTGCCACTTTTCTTAGTAAGTTTTATGTCTTAATTAGTTTTAGATCTAGATTGTCATCAACACTTAGATTTTGATTTCTGTCCTTATTTGATTACATGAAAAATGGAAATGCTCCCTATTTATCTTCACATTGCCAGAGGGCTATTACAAGAAATTATTTAAGGGTTCATGCCTACTGATCTTTGAATCAAATTGAAAAATCTTATATGCATGCATGCATACACACAGTTCATCATTCTTTAAAATTGAAAAAAGCATTGGGTTTTTTCCCAGATGCAGCTATATGTGCAAGCTGCTGAAAATATATTTTTTAATTTTTCTCTTTTTTTTTTAAATTTTTGGTTTGAGTTTTTAGATAGTACCAGCCCTCTATAAGGCTGAGTATGTTTTGTGTGGATAAATTTTATCTAAGAAGTTCCATGGACAAATGTGAGCTGTTTATCATCTTTAACGGTGAAATACTAAAGAGAAACTGGAAAGACAGGAATTCTTTTCTACTGGCATGTTTGAATTCAAAGTTGGTTGCCCTCAGTTTTGTTGTAAATATGCAATTCTATGCTTATTCATTGCTTTCCTTGAAAGTCAGTGAAATATGAGAACCAAGCAGTGGGTAAACTTAAATATTAAACACCTAAAACATCAAGGTTTTTTTTTTTTTTTTGTTCAGTGAAATAGGCAGTGAAAAAAATGTTTTGGTGCTCTTCATTTGAATAGGACTGGTGTTTGGCAGAGATTTCTGTTCTTGTAGAAAGCTGCATGGATAGGTCTTTTCTATTTTAAAACTTCAATCCCTGTTTTTTCAATTTACTTTTTTTGGGATCAGGTTAACTTTTGCTTCTGATCACTTAGGGAGGTGTGTCCACTTCCATAATTCAGCTAGCTCTCATTTTTAGATTAGCTTAACATGACTGACTTTATGATAAATCCATTACTTTTGTGTAAGGAATTACATACGTGCCAGGGAGTCAGTATGCTGAGACTGTCCAAGTGGAGTATATATGTACACATGTGGTGTCAAAAGTTATCCAAGTGCTGAGAAGCTCATTTTTGTGTAATGACTATCTCAGTGTCAATGAGAACACTCCAGTTTAAAAAATACTTTCCATTAACTTTGTCTTAGTTGCCACCATAGCTCTTGTTTGAGATGGGAGAACTTTTCTTATCCATCCTGGTCTGTAAACAGAGGCTTTCACTGACTCCTTCCAAAGTTCTTGTTTTCAGTCTGAAATTTCATGTTGCCTCATTGATGAAGGCTGTATTTTAAGTGGTGTTATCTGTTACTAAGGTGCTTCGACATTATTTGGACAGACTGGGTCTATGGAACGTTGGCATCATCGCTGCGGATGGAAATTGGGACATCTCAAAAGAGATGATAGCTGATCCCTATCTTAATGATGCTATTGAGGTAGTCGGGTAAGTGTGGGAGAAGGGAGACATTTTAAACATTGCTGTTGCTTCCTATTTATAAGTCTCCATCTCCAATTTCAAGAGTCATATATTCTTATTTCATACTTCCTAGCTGTTTCCATTTTTTCCATCGTGTCCAGTGGTGATGGATTATTCTTTCTTGTCTTTCTCCTTTCAGTTTAGTACATGTGTAAGCTGACCTTGTCACTCTTCCATCATTTCTTTAAAGTGTCCATTTAGGGGCTGTGTTTTAGGCTTCTTAGCATTAGCAAATGACAGGAAACTTCTAACTAATCTGCATGTGCATGTTCCAAGTCAGAAAAACCTTAGGATTGAATTCTTGGTCTGCAACTGGTTTTCGTTTCGGTTGAACTTGAACTTTCAGAGTGGAACTTATCACCGTGGGCTTTTCTGTGGCTGCAGCTGAGATTTTTCTGGTCAGAGCTAGAAGAGCTAGAGCTAGAAGTTTCTTTTTATTGCTTGTATCTGATAACAGATAATATTAGAAATGCATGCACTTACAGAAACACAGAAGTAACATCAAGCACCTAAAGTTTGTAAACTAATACAGCCTATCTCCATTTTGGCAGCTGGGAATGCCTTCTGTTGGTGTTTCAGCAAATGTCAGTTCAACTGTTTGCCTCTCTTGTTCCATAATACACTTTATTACTTGATTTTGGCAATTTATTCTGCTGGTTTTGTTCTCTTTCTAATCTCTGGTTTCTCAAAATTATACATAGTTTTAAAAAAATTACATGTTCCCAGTGGAAATGTTGTGTACAGATACAAATTGTTCACTTGTGTTACATTTGTTAACTTGTTTATCTCTGTTGTTAACCTTACTGTGATAAGAACATTCTTGTGGGTCACTCGTGTACTGTTTATCCTCTGGGTGTAAGGAAGCATGATATGCTCATCATAGTTTATATGAATGTGTGGTTCAAAGGTTATAGCAGGTCAGTTCAGCAGGGATTTTATAAAGAAACTGCTTTTGTATTTGTTGAGCTTGTAAATATCAATCATCTGAAAGTGGCTGCCTGAGAAATGCCAATTATAGTGTCAGTAGTGAGTAACTCATTTGGTTTAAAATAGACTTAAAAAAACCTTTCTTAGGTTAGGCAAGACTTGCAGCTCAGCAGGTGCATTAGGAAATGTTTTAGTAATTATTTCCAAGACAGTACAGCTTGAAGAATGACTGTGTACAGTTCTTGTTTCTTCAGGAACTTGGCAGAATCAAGGATAGAAGTACTTGTTTATGTTTGTGTCTTTAGAACCACAGACATGTTTTAGTTGTTGTTTAAAATGTAAGTTCTTTTTGTCAGAGGTTTTTCTTCAATGTGATACAGATTTTGCCTCAACTCCCCCTCCACCACTGATCACAAAAAATGGACAGTTAGGTTTTTTCTGTGCAGTGGTTTTGTTATCTGTCAAGAAATTAGGGTTACTACAAAATGAGAACACCATGTTTCTCAATCAATGCTGACTTTAAGGTACTACCTACCCCAGAGAGTTCTGCTGACCTAGTGAAAGATAATAGTATTTAGATGTCTGTCCTTCAAATGCTCAGGTTCAGAAAGTTCATAAACATTTTGTAGTTTAGCCATCAGCCCTGTAACATCTAAGTGGCTAATCTGCAAATAGAGTATACTGCATGAAATGTGATATGCTTTGTCTTAATCTGTACTTTCGTGTCTGTAAGAACAAAATGTTTTTAATTTTTCCTTTTCTTATGTATTTTGGAATTCAGTATGGTAGAAGAAGGTATCCTTTGAAGTCACTTTGTATTTGACAATCTTGTATGTATTGTTTGGTGTAACAGTTGTCCAAGTTGCAAAAACCTGAACTGAAGCATAGTAGTTTTTTCAGCTAGTGCTGAAGAAGATGCTGCCTTCCAAATATAAAGTTTTGACAATTTGAAAACCAATTTTTTTATTTGTTCCTTCTCTCTGTTCTTTGCTCTCCTTTTTTTTTCCAAGCTGTTGAGGTACACATTGGATAAGCATGGTCTGGAGCAGGTGAGGATCATAGCCAGCGATAGACTGTGGGAGCCCATTTCCTTTGTCATGATGATTGACTCTGAGCTCCACGGAGTGGTCGATGTGATTGGGTAGGGGGTTCTCTCTGTTCTTCTTTCTTGGTGGTTTGTTTATAGTTTGTCTTCATCTTATTTATAACTAACACAGCCAAAGCTTTACCTCTCTGTACTCTTACCTGCAAGGAAAGGATTGATACTATAAAACTTTCTTACTAACCCACATCAAATCACACAGCTCTTGTCCCCGTAACAGCCTCAACCTTTCATTAAATCAGGAGTCTTCTGTCATGTCGAAGATTCGTGTTGGGAGTGGTTGCGCTTTTGAGGGATTGAAGGTTTTTTGGACAGCACTGTTTATTCTGAGAGTTTTGGTTCCTCTAACTGGTATGCAAAAAGTGCTTTAGCTTTACAACTTCGTACACGGCCTTGTAATTTCCACTGGTTTGTTACTGAAATGTTTGTTATGCAGAAATGAATTTGGGCTGTGATTCTTCTTTGAGTTACAATGGTTTGATTCTTAGTTCTTGTTTTGCTTTGATGACAAATTTATATTTGGAAAAGATGCAACCAGCTGACTTGTTTTGCTAGTTCTGGGTTTTGTCATAATAATATTTTACTAGTAGACTAAATTTGAGATTGAATGACTTGTTGGCTGAATGGAAATGTGTATACAAAACATTTATTAACTTTTCTTTTTACAGTTGCTCTAAACTTTAATGACTAGGTGCCATAAACTTGCCCGACCCAATCACATGCTTAAAATGTGTCAGTTCCTTGCTTCAATTTGAGTCTTTTCCATTCATCTTTATATATCTGAACCATAGGAGGTGTAGAAATGAATGCTTTTTCTGCAAATACAGATAGGCAGTCATTGTCATCAACTTTTGCAATCAGTCTCTCCCCTCATTCTGAACATGAACAGTATCTTGACAGCTTTTCATAGGTGGAATCTTGGATCATGTCTGGATGAAACTCAATGGTTTTTACACTGCCTAAGTAAGCTGTATTTGCTTAACTCTTTATAAGTCTAAGTTTTACATCCCTACTCTGATTCAATCTTAACAGGGAAATTATTACACTCTCTTGTGTATTTCAGCTTTTAATGGGATATTAGCATTTAAACACATTTTCAGTAGCGTAGAAAGACAAATTATTCCTACTTTGCTTTGTTTTTGAAAGCTGTGCACTTTATGCCATTACAAAAACCTTTTGCTTGGTACTAAGGCAATACCTAGGTTTCCAAGCCAAAGGGGAAATACAAAGTAAAACATACAGGAGAGCAAAATGTTGCTAAAATCCCTATTATCTGTCACATTTCCATTAGTGAAGCTATGTATGAAGGACTGCAACACTGGGAAATAGCTCATTGTCCACTAGAGGGAAAATATTGGAAAAAAACCCAACAGTCAGCCTAGAAAAACTGGCGTTTCTTGTATTCCTGCCACAAATGTATCAATTGATCAAGTTGCAGGCTAATAGTAAAGGAAATAGTTTCATTTTAGTGTACGTATTAAGTGTGTTCAATAAATGTGCTAAGTGAGGAGAATCACAATCCTGTTTTCTGCAAGTGGTTTGAAAGGTTTTATTTCAGTCAGCAAACCTTGCACTGCATTTGGTGGGTCAGTGTCTTGATTGAGTATAATCAAAGTCTCCATTGGGTGAAAGGATCTGTCCTCATATTAAGGAAGATCTTGAAAAGAAAATTAGCTCTCATTATATGTTTCAAGTATTGTCAGTTTATACCTTTGTAACTTCTCTAGTCCAACTACCATGTTTTTTTGAAACCTGAGTTTATTAATAAAGATGTACAAAATCAGTCAAGTTCATGTTTTGTTCTAAGACATTCATGCAGCTAAATTCTTAGGATAATGCCTAGTGCTGTATCTTACTGTTGGTTTTACATTATTTATGGTTTTGTTTAAGGTAGTATGAGTTAGCATGTATTTTCTCTATTCAGCACATTATGGTAATGACCATATTAGCTCATAATGACAAATTAGCTCAATTTCAGGACAGAGATTTGCTTTAGCAAGCTGTGAAAATTGCATTGTATCTGTAATACAATCTAAGTTTATCTATGTGCTATCATGTAGCAGAAGAAATAATCTACTGATGTAAATACAATGAGCTCTAGAATGTTACAGCTCCCCCTTGTTCAATTTTCTTGTATTCCACTTGTGGTATTTTATTTTTCATTTTCAGTTTGAAGGAAGTGAATCATTACTGCTATATGTACTTCCAAAATTTGACTTTCTCTTTGTACTAAATGCTCTTTCTTTTCAAAATATTGTGTAGGGCTCACTATCCTGGGACAAAAACAGTGCAAAATGCTATATTAACTGGGAAGAAACTGTGGTCGTCGGAAGATTACAGTACTTTCAATGACGATGTTGGTGCAGGATGCTGGGCTCGGATCCTGAACCAAAACTACGTGAATGGAAACATGACCTCGTAAGTGTTGGGCACTGTTGCACACTTTCACAACTCGAAGTGTAGGAATTATTTAAAGTACTGTATAACACATCCGTCTGCTCTGGTGAGAAAACAGCTAAACTGAAAGTGACCCCAATGTGGTCTGAATTCAAATATAGTAAGATAGGAAGTCTGCTGTTCTGACCTCTTTCTGAGGTAGAAGTTCCACAAGTTTCAATGTATTCTTGTTCCCCAGCACTCAGTAGTTTATGCAGTTAATTTCAGATGCCTTTGAGTCTGATGATAATTATTAAAAAGAGAATGTTCTTGAGAAGAGCTAACAGTTAAAAACATTGGAGGAAAATAACAATATAAGTAATTTATCGTATTTTTCTTAAGGTCTTTATCAGATTGTATGTCTTCAGTTAAACAGAGAATTACAGATGTAGTTATCTAGTTTTTCCATACAACTGCTTCCTCAGAATCAATTCTTAAACATGCTGTAGTGTTTTGATAATTTACTGTTTTCTGCACATTTTCTTTCCAAACTGAAAACTGTAAAAAAATGTTCTCTCTACTGTGAAGTTACATAACTTAGTTTTAGAAAAGAATAGAAATACAGTTCATTTCTGGTGCAACAACTGGCAATCTGAAAGAAAAGGTTTGGTTAAAGAAAAGGTAGGCATCAAGATATATGCAAAATTGTTCAAATCTTTCAGATTCTTTATAACTTCATTCTGGAAAAATAAAGAGAAATCTTCTAGTCTGTTGCTTCAAGTGGAGTGCTGGAAAAATTACTGATACTTGTAAAGGGAAATTTTTTTAGTCACCTGGTTTCTACAGATATTTTATCTTCTCTGCAAGCTGAAATTTTCAAACAGATGAATATTTCTTGCTTGAATTCCTGATCATTCTGCTTCCTTCTTAATCCTCATATACTTTAATATCTTTATTTGGGGTCCTTCTTTTTCCATTGCTTTGCTATTTTTCCAAGTCCTTTCAAATTATAAATGCCCCGTTTCTTTCACAGCCTGACAGCTAGGCGTATTTAGAAATTACTGTAGAATATTTCCAAGTCCAGGTGTCCAACAGTGAAGTTGTCTTGGCTTCTATACTGAAAACAAAATCTTTCTGACGAAGGGTAGCTTATCTTTCTGCTAAGTTTGTTTCCTTTGAAGTTGAATTTCCTACTTTTCTTTCTAAGTTTGAAATCAACAGAACAAGTTTGATGTGAGCAAGCTGAGTTTACAGTTCAAGAGTTGTTTATTTTATGATCATGTTTTTGTAGAATTCCAGGATCTCTTCTGTGTGTATGTATAGTGTGATAAGTCTGTGGCAGTGCCTTTAGAATGAGGCCTTTGTACTCACCTGTACACAATAGCAAAACAGATTGTCAGCTTTTGCCTTCTGCTTAACTGCTCTGTTAGGCTATATTTCCATATTTAAGGCCTAGAGGTCTTAAGTTTAAAGTCTTTGCAAAATATTTTCAGTGAAGCTCAAATCAAAGTGTGTGAAGTGATTATCCTTGTCAGGATAGAACAACAACTCCTTGAGGATGGCTGGTTAAAGTTGTTTTCAGTTTGTTACTTACATGGATAAAGATAAGATCTTTTTTTAGTGATGGTACTTAACTGCTTCCCTAAAAAACTCCACCCAAAACAGCTACCACCATGCACAGAAATAACCAAGCAATCACAGAGACCTGAACTGAACAACACCCAGCAAAAAGCTGTAGACTTCGCTAACAAACTTTTTTCCCATCAGAACAGGAAAAAATCCCAAACAAATGGAGTCTTTACCCTCAATACAAGTTTATTTTAATGTACAACTTTTTGTGGGTTACAGTCAGAGAATTTGTCACCAGTTTTGGAAGTTCTCAACATTGGAAGCTGATTTGCTTTATTTTCCTCTCCTGTGGGTTTTCTTTTTCCTTTTAGCTAGACAGATATTCCTTCCACCCTCCAAATTGTTTTCATTGTATGCTGGAAAAAAGGAGAAATGGATTCTTGTATTAAGTTAATTTAATACTGTCTATATGAATGAAGAAAATATTTTTCTTCTAGAACAATTGCATGGAATCTGGTGGCCAGTTATTATGAGGAGTTGCCCTTTGGTCGATGTGGATTAATGACAGCACAGGAGCCATGGAGTGGCCACTATAAAGTTGAATCTCCTATCTGGATTACAGGTGAAAATTTTGCAGTTATAAGTTGGTGATCTGACACTGAACATCACTGTACTTTCCAAGGTCTTTATTTATTTAGTGGTTTTATGTGTATTATTTTTTGTACCAAATTGAGGTAGATTTCTGGAAAGTTTTGTGAATACATTAAAAAAGAAGAAAATAATGTAATTTCAATAAAAAGCAGAAAGATATAATAGTAAGGGAAATATTTATACTTGATGTTTAGCTGTATCAAAAATTAAAAAGCTACTGCCTTTATAGTTGCTACTATTAAAATATTTAAATCTGAAGTGCCCATAAAGGTTAATGTGCTTTCTTGTTTCCTTTCCCTTTTTTATTTTTAATCTTTGAGTGTCAATCAATTCCATTTGGTACTTCTCAATTTGCAAAAATGGAACAAAGAACCTCTGTATTCTTTTCCTGCTTGACATTCTTGGCTTGGGTAAATCACCATTTCCTTGAGCCTGGGGAAAGGGAAGAATGTTCATGTGGTGTCCATGGGCACATGGTTTCACTGGCTACTCTGTAGTCCTGTGATATTTTACTGCCTTTGCCGCAGTTTTGTAGAGCAACTATGCAGTGCCATGAAGGAGGAACCAGACAAATGCTTTAATTTTTGTTCTTCTAGTTACCTATAAATGTAAAAGCATTAAAGGAAAAATGGCCGGGTTTGCCATGTACAGAACAGCTGAACAGTTGTTCCTGTGTCCATATTGCTCAGGATTTTCATGATCTGCATCATATTCTTGGATAGTTTCACTTACTTTCTGAAAACCCTACTTATTTAGTTATTTCTCATGGATTTGCCCATCTGTGCTTTCGCTGCCCTAAATGTTTCCTTTATTTTAAGATAAAAAAAAAAAGGGAAAATCTAAACTGTGATGAATATTCAAATTGAATGGACATGATTACCTTATATAGTTTGTACTTAATGACTGAATAATTATAATTACTATAATTTTAACTGTTTTGTCTGCCACAGTGTTGATATTTTTAATTTTGCTGTAGTATAATTCTTTAATCTTTCCTCTTATATAAGTAAATATTGTTTTGGAAGTTCTATTACTTTCTTCCCCAAATCAGGTTTCAGTTTTGTCAGCATGTATGAGAAAGAAATTTAATTAAGCCTACAAATGGTACCATTTTTATTAAGTCTTAATTATTGTATTCTGATTTTTGTCTCAGCACACACCACACAATTTACTCAACCAGGCTGGTCATACTTGCAAGTGGATGGACACTTAGAAGGAGGTGGCAGCTTTGTAGCCCTGACAGATGGCCTAGGGAACCTTACCATCATAATTGAAACTATGGTATGTTCATCAGCAATTCCAGCGGACTAGAAAAGTTACAGGAAATGTTTTATTATGAAGAACCTGTCTTGATCTATGTTATTCAGTATCTGTGAATGTTCTTTGATACTTTGTAGCTTTATTTATGAGTTCACTAGAGGTCATTTTTTCTATCTGAACTTCAAGTGCCTAGTTGAGACTTCCTGGAGGCCAATATATATGCCATCTTTATCTTTTTATTACACATTATCTGTAATTGGATGACACCCTGGGAGGAAGTTATATCATGTGCTTTCTTAAAATCTGTATTCATAATAAAATTATTAAACTACTGTAATTGCAGCTATTAAGATAACAGAGAAACAAATTATTGCTCTTTTAATTTCAGTTCTATGCTGTTGGTTTTTCATGAATTTTGCCATTTGTTGCATTTTAGTAATGTGTGTCTCTTCTGTCTCTTTTTCAGAGTCATAATCACTCTAAATGTATCAGGCCTCCATTGCCAAATTTCAATGTCATACCTCAGAGAGCAACTTTCTACCTCAGAGGGTCATTTGTAAGTAGACTTTGAATACATTTGATCAGCCTTGTAAAATGAATTGCCATTCTTAATCAAATACATACAAGTCAGTATCACAGGTTAGCAAGAAATTAACAGTCTCCAGTATTGGAGGCTGTTTCATGCCTGGTGAAGTTTTAAGCGTTCTGTTTCGGTTTTACCATGAGATGCAATGTCATAACTGAAATGGTAGAATTGCTGCCTCCCAGTCTCATCATCTGTATATTGAAGAAGAAATTTTACAGGAGAGAAATGCAACTGAATTTTTCTTTAGAATTTATTCCAAGGCTGGGTGCTCTGACATGCTGACATAGTTCGTTGGGCCAGCACAGACATGATCTTTTTAGTTATCTGTTCATTTTCAGAATAGCTGTAGTTGATTTTATACTATAGATTTTGTTGTCGCATCCTGTGAAGAGATATTTGAGAATCTCCCAGTTGTTGATTTATTTATTTTCTTTTTTAATCTTGCTAAAGTAAATTTCCCTCTAATGTTTTCACAGTGTAAACCGGAGGGAGTCATTGTTAGTTGATTTGGATGATTCCTTCTCAGAAGCTGACATTTACTTATTTGGATTTGATTTTTATTTTTTGGCATCAGTAATTTCCTTTAGGAGGAGATAATTTGGATAATACTTTTGGCAGCAAAATAGTTCACTGGGGAAAAGTTATATATGGTTGATAGGGTATTGCAGAAGGATGGAGACAAAGCAAAATACTTTGCTCAAAAATTAAAATCAAAGAACTAGCAACTAGACTGAAGGCCACATGAAAGTGAAACCAGTGGGATATTATTTCAGTCCAGTTACTTCTTGAAGGAGAGCTTGTATCCAAGGTGTATTGTTGGTGAAAGAGAAGCTAAAGATTGTGTCTGTGTTTGCAGTGCTTTCTGTCTTTGTAAGCAACATTAGGGCATGTTAGGACAATGCTTTATTAATGAATAATCTATAAAAATGTAAGGCATATGTAATGATTAGCTGAATAGAGTTGTGGCCTCTAATGTGATCAACAGCTTTGAAATAACAAAAATTAGACACTTATAGAGGACTGGTATTTCTCAAGTTGAATATTCAAGGTTGTTTATTTTGCTGTTGTTGTGTTTTAAACTGTATGGTGTGTTCCATTGTAGTATATGGTGGAAACCCTTCAAGTGTGGCACTCTAGACTTGATTTTGAATCTGGACACTCCAGTCTTTTCCAGAAACTCCGTCCTATAAAGGTAAGTTGATAGTTTTGATTACAGTCCCTCTGCAGTTTCAGATGTGTCTTTCCTCTTTGGTGAAAGTCCTCAAATTTCACACTTAAGCTGCATATTTAGGGCATGTTTTAATGCTGTTTGAGTGCAGTTTTACTGGCTATGTACAAGATTACCTGGAGGTAATAAAGAATTTGGGGAAAACGAGTTCTGAAATATTTAGAGATATTTAAATGCTGTGGCAAGAAGATGGGATTTTTACTTAAATCAGAACTTCAGAGGATCTTCTTTACTTCTGGAACTTGGGTATTTTGTCATTTAGTGGGTAACCTTTGCAGCTTGAGCTTTCTTCAATTCCAGGTATGGAAGGGAAGATTTACTTTAGATCTAAAAGTGGATGAAGTCTACACTTTAACCACACTCAAGACAGGACGGAAATATATTTGCCCAGAGCCGCCTCCTCCTCAGCCCTTTCCTTCAAATTACAAAGATGATTTCAATATACGTAAGCCAGAATTCTCTTATCCAAAAACTTAATTCACACACAGATATAATTGTAACGTAGGAAGATAGTAAGTTATGTTATTTGAATCCTCTACATGAGGTAGCCTGAAGATCTATTTTGGTTTTGTTTATTTATATCTGTTTTTCCAACAACTTATACCTGTATGACTGTACACCTTATGTCGCTGTTTGACAGAAAATGATTCACATGGACACATCTCAATGTGTGATAGGAAAAAGAGAGCGATTTATTCAGTGATTCCAGTATTTGTAGATTCTCGACAGCGACCAGGGATTGGATAGTTAGGTTACCACCTTCCCAACCACACTGGTCGTGAGAAACATCCATCAAAGACATTTCTTTAATGGAATGTATAAGCATCTATGTTTATAGTTAGTTTCCTGGGAAAATGGCTAGAAACTATGAAAACAAGCTCAGAAGGCTTAATTCTTACAGCGACAACCTTACACTTGCAATGAAGTGTATTTAATGTAATATCTTATGTGGTGTTCATGTGTTTGCAAAACCAGTGCTTAAAAACTTCCATTTTGGGGATTGCTTTGATATAGCAAGTCAGAAATCTGGAGAAAATTTTCAGGGGAAATTTTTGAGAACAAGTATACTAAAGAAAAGTAATGTTTTAGAGTTGATGTGTATTTTATTTTCTGAACAGGTAATCCACCTTTCAGTGAAGCCCCAAATTTTGCAGATCAGACAGGTGTATTTGAATACTTTGTAAATGCTTCTGACCCTGGAGATCATGTGTTCACACTCCGCCAGGTGGTGGTTCAGCGGCCCATCACTTGGGTTTCTGATGCAGACCAGACCATCAGTGTCATAGGAAATTTTAAGTGGTATGTAAATACTATTTTGTAGCAGCATTTGGGGAAATGTCTTCCTCACCAGTGTGAGGAATGATAAGTTAATCTGTCTCAAGTCTCATTTCTCTTGGACAGAGGGCTTTTGCTTTTGCCTCCAGATTCTCTGTAGTCATGTAGGAAGGATGATTCAAGCACTTCTAAAAGTCATTGAGCCCTCCTCAGGGCCAAAGGTCAACTGTGTCTGTCTAAATGACTCTTAAAGGATGGAGAATCCACCACATTTCTTGGTTGCTTAGCCTAATGCTGCAGTGTCTTAGAATGTTTCTTTTTGCTTATGTCCTGCTGGGCATATTTGTTCAAGGTAATTTTTTACACTAATGGATCTGAGTTGGCATACTAGAAACACCAATGTGTGCCCTGAGTTTCTTATTTCTTAAACTGGACTAAGAAAAGGATTAATTTTGAGTTACATAATTTAGAATTATTTGTTAGCAGTTTGATCAGTCTCATAACTCTCAGACTATTTAGTTGATAATTCAGATGTATTTGTTGCAGACTGCCATCTTCTGAGCAGTTCCTAGAATTGTATGGATTTGATGCCAATGCTACTTCAAACTCTTTTATTTCTGGGTGAAAGTAACTGGTTTACTCTTTTGATGAAAGTGTGGTTACAGTTGCAATTCTTCCTAGGAGATAAAAAATTGCTAGGCGCTACAATGACGGGAATTCAGAACCAAGCATCATATTTTAGAATAATGTTTATTTAAAATTAATAAGTATTGGGAAAGAGCCTGTTAACTAATTATGCTTTTAATAGTAATAATAAACTTCATACTTAAAGCTTTCTCTTCTGCTTAGAAGTCTAGCCTAAATTGTTTTGATATGTTCTTTAAAATAGCCGTTCTGTCAGGTTTTTTTCACTTTAATTAAATCATTGATCTGGCAAATGCTTTTTTAGAACATGTTTCACACTTCTAATTTCAGGCCTATAGTCGTGATTGAATCTCTTTGGTCCAAAACCTGGAAAAATAACACCCTCTTGTACTTGGAGGCTGTTCTTCAGTTATCAGATGTTTTCTTTTGCAGCCCTCTGTTAAGAAAAAATCTCACATTCCCCCTATAATCAACTATCCCTCATTGAGTAAATCATACTCAGTGATTCCTATAACAGCTACATAGGACATATTTGAAAATTACTGTACTGAGATTCCTAAAAACTTCCTGTTATTTTATTTTAGTTCTGTTTCTTTGCGTCTTCATCTTGCTTTCAAAACCAAGCTTGCTTCCTGAATATTCAGTTTATTATTCAAGTTTTACTGGCCTGTAACTTTTCATAATGCTAGTCCTCAATTTCAGGCCCTCAAGTTTGTTTGCTTCATCCTCAGTTTAAGACTCAACTTGTCCCTGGCAGATATTTTCAACAATGAGCACCTGCTACTGAAATTCTGAGCCAATCTTGTGTTAGATTTCTCTGTGGGATGGTACTTCAGTTGTCAGTGGCACTTTATCGTGATTCAATTTCAGGATTGTTTAGTTGGTTTTAGTTTTAATTTTAAACTTGTGAATGTGAAAGCTTTTTACTCTCTTATCCTAGATTTGTTAGTGTTCTTCTCTGATGGTTTTATTGAACCTAGGTATATTCTGAAAGTATTACTATGTAATTATTTCTGTATTGCTTTGAGTCTCTTTATAATGGTTTAAGGAAAATGTGGGGGGTTTCTTTTTTGATAAATGGGGAGGCAAGAAAGTAATCCTGTTTGTGTAATGGCTATATTCAAGAATATGGAGCATTACATTAGAATTAAAACTCAGGTCACTCTTACTACTATGTTAGAGGTGAGGAGAAAAGTTGCTAGAATAGATATTCTCTGATTCAGTTATCAGCTGAGCTGCTGTCAAAGAAAGTCTTTTCACATTCTGTAAATAATTCTGGATAGTTATTGCTTAAGTAAGTGCCCTTGTGGCTGTATCTGTATTACAAGTGCTTTCAGACATGGGATGTAGATCAATTAATAGAAGGAGAGACTTCTTATGGTTAAGAGCCTTGTAGTGCAACTCTGGGGAGGAGGAAGTTGTGTAAATTTTCTAGGTGCAATTTGATGGTTCTGGTATTATTTCACTTTATTCTTTACAGCTCTCACTGCATGCATAATGCAGTGCTTTACTGTTGAGTTAGAGTATAATCTCAGGAAATCAAATAATTTCTGCGTACTGCCTACTCCAAAAAATTGATTCCTTCCTTGTTAAAACACTAAACTTCTCTTACAGGGTAAACATGACAGTCACTTGTGACATCTACATAGAAAAACCTCGTGATGGAGGTGTGTTTATTGCAGGAAGAGTTGACAATGGTGGGATATATGTGCGACGTACCAAAGGAGTTTTCTTCTGGGTTTTTGCAGATGGCACCTACAGAGTCACTGGTGACCTAGGTAAGCAGCTCTTTGCAAAAGTGGATACTGGCATATGGACATGTCATTTTGATAACTTGGATAAAAATGGGTAACACTCAGATTTTATAGTTCATTTGTCATGACTATGAATTTAACCAGTTGTGTTCTAATGATGGTCACTTTTCATAAGTAGAAAAAGCATCTGGAGGCTACTGGCTGGCCCATTTCTCAGGCTCAGCTTTCTGGAGTTTTTGGTTTTCCACTAACAAAGTCTGTTTTACACTAGCAAATATGAGCTATTTTGCTTTTCATAAATACTCTGATAAAATATTAATTACAGAAAGATTTGATCTGTATTCTTAAACTACACATAAAAAAAAAATCCTGCTTGACATGAAATGGCTTCTCTTAGAGAGCAGTTCATCTTACATCTGGCTTAAGTGATGATCATAAGTGGCCTCCTTTTTCCTCAAATTATGCATCCTCCTCTTAGTGTAGCTCAGTGGAGCGAGCACATGTTCTGCTTGTGATGCTAACGTTCTTGTGTGTTTATCTGTAGAGCACTTCACAGGCACATGGAAGAGTGTATGATAATACTTCATCAGTAGCTAAAAGTTCTTTTCAATTTGTTTTGGCAGAGTGGCATATTTAGTTGTTTAAATGCATTTCCTGTCATTTCATGAGTATAAATTAAAATTTTCAATAGTTTCTGATGAGTCAACTGTAACTTCCAGATCTACAGTATATCTGATCTTATGTTTTTTTTTGTGTATGTGTGTCTGTGTTCCTTTCCACTTTTACCATGGAGAGGTAGCATAAAGAGGGATTTACATAGCTTCTCTTAATGTACCAGTGCTCCCTATGGAAACTTTACAGTGTGTCATTCCATAAAAACTTAAGTTTCAGCTGTATGAAAATACATACTTGTGTTTAGGGTCAACTCAATTTTTTATTTGTAATAAGACCTAGCAACATTACCTGATTAGTTTCTCAGGCTGTCAGAAATAAGTTTTCCTGGATGAAATGAGTAGATTTTGATCAACCATCCTGTTATTTCAGGCTGAGACTCTTGTTACACAATATGATAATTTTTTCTGTACAGTTATTTTCAGTCATCTTTATATTTTTCTAGAAGGGAGCCTGAATGTTAAATTATCTTGCAGCAAAAACTGTCTACTGAATAAATGAGGACTTCTAGCACTTAATTTTTTTTCAGGTCTTCATCTTCCCTCCAGGTGTCATTCACACCCCACTTTTGCTTAGCTTAAATTTTGGGTAGAGCTAAGCAACACGACGGTGTGGCAACTCAAACCCTGTGATTTAAAATAGTTTCAAACAATACATAAACAAGAAGATCTATAGAATGATATATAGCTACTATAGCTATAGCTACTGTCACACTTTTTGAACTTGTACTCTCCATAGAGTGGATCCAAATCTCATGCCAAATTGCCAAGAGCATTGAGGATTTCAGTGAGAAAACAGTTCTGTCAAAACAAGAGAAGGTACTGATAATGCAGAGTCCAGGTTTACATGTTAAGCCTTCCAAACTGGTAAAATGTCAATCCTGAAAACTTCTGAAAAATAGATACTATTATCCTTTCACTGGCGTGGTATTTATCAGTTTCAGCAAAGGGCTGAAGTTACACTTTGCTAACTTAAACATGTTTTGCAGCTGGAGAGGAAATACTAATGAAAGGACTTGCTGGTGTCCGGGATAATGCATGGCACACACTCACTCTCAACATTCAGGTAAGGACTCAGGCAAAAAGCTAGAAAACCAGTTATGACACTTCCAGTCCTAAATGGTTTACACAACACTGTGCTATGCTATTGATGATGGCTTTGCATTAGTTTAGCCTATCAAAAATATAAACAATATCTTTTATATTAAACCAATGCTAAAATAACTATACCAAGTTCTGCTGCCTGTATTTTAAAAGAGATCTTGAGAATTTGTAGAAGGTGCAGAAAATAACTGGAAAGATGAATTGAAAGCTAGAGGTAGAAGGGTGAGTCTCATTTAATTTGATGGAAAGATGATGACCTGGCTTTCTGTTCTTAGGACAGTGAGTAAATTACTAAGGTAGCCTGTGTTACAAATCTGTCTCCCACCAGTTCCCTTTGCAGGCTAAGGCCATGTATGGGGAGCTAGTAAAGGACTGGGAAACTCAGGTAAACTGAGTTCCTTCTCTGCTGTGGTGGAAGAGCACAAGCATTATGTTACTGTATAGGTGGGCTGCAGTTCATGAGAAGCCTGTCTGCATTTTTTTCCTTCCTTCCCACTCCACCCTTTTTGACCACAGTGACCTGGGGAGGAAAGTAGCCCCAAACAGTGCTTTAAATATCGCTGTGCGATTCGATGGGTGTGACATTGGTGCAAGTACCTAAAAGGCTTGAAGTTCCTCTTCTGAATGCCTTTGTCTAATTTAGCCTTTGCAACTGCAACTGGTTTGAAATGTGGGGAAGCTTAAATCCTAGCTGGGGATATTTACTACGGAAGGTAATGCTTTTAAAGTCATGCACTGAGTCCCTCATGCTAAAATGCCACTGAGTATTAGAAGCTGGTTTTTGTCCCTCGTACTATCACTTTTGGAGACAAAGGGACACTTGTGCCTAAGGCATTCACCGGAATGGATGTTCAGTTTTGGCTTTGGTACACCTACATTTATGACAGTGCATGCCATTCTGTAAAATGGGCCAAGATACTGGGTTACTGAAGATGAACATTAATCACTTAAAACAGTGTTGGGAATTTTAAAATCACAATGCTTCAAACTTCCATCAGTGTTGTTAAAGTATTTTGTACCTAGTATGCCTTTGATGTAATGAGCGAAGTACAGACCCATCTTTATAATTCTCACACTGAGTCCTTGAAAGACATTCTTGGAATTTACCTGTAATTGTCTTTCAGATGAAGAAACACAGGTAAACTGAAGTACTTTTTCCTAAATACTGTTTAGTGGAATGCACAGAAGATAAACTGTAATTTTTCCTGAAACTGCTTTTAATTTCTACATCTTGAAGTGGCTTGAGTGATACTTGAAGGTTCTGCTATCTCCCCTTTCTTTTGGCTTAATGACTAAATTACATCTTTCTTTACTTTTGACTTCTGCCTAATTCTGCAGAATCAGTGCCAAGTGTATCATATCACCTTAAGAAAGTTAGGCTGTTTTGAAAGTGTCTGATATAAGGAAGAGGAAAACCAGTTTACCCTTCAGGTTCTACACTGAGTTAGCAAAGCTGTGAGTAGGAGAAGAGGAGCCTTTAATGTATTCACTGTAAAGACATTAGATCTATTTCAAAGAGCTGATAGACACCAGAGGATTCTATGCAATATTTAGATGCATCTTTGCATGAAAAATGTGTGAAATGTAGTTGAAAGTTGACTTGACATCCTTCTGCTTTGTCTTGTCTCCCATGTGAACAGGCTCAGTGTATACACAGACCCTGGAAAACAAAGCTAACATTTTCTTTTTTGTAACAGGGCAACTCCGCCTCAGGACTGTTAAATGGTTATCCACTCTGGGAGAATGTCACCATTTCTAAACCGCAGAACGGCTGGGCTGCTCTCGGAACTCGCTCGTTTGAGTTGGCACAGTTTGACAACTTCCAGGTTGAAGCTTGCTGAGGTGGCTTTGGCATTTGGAGAACCTGGTTCTCATGTTACTTTGAAAAAGAGCCAAGTCAAACTTGGAGGAGAGCTGACTGCCAAACTGTGATTGATCTCTTGGCAAAGAGTCTGGATTCGGTCCGTGTTATTTGTTAAAGGTTTACTTGAGTAGATATCAACATGATTGTAGCTTTATCCCTGATTGCTGTGGGATTTTTGCCCTTCAGTTTTTAGGGGTAAATTTTAGTTCAAGGTAATGATGAAAACAAATTCTTGGATTTAGATATCTTTTAATAACAACATCTTAACTTACCAGCTCACTTCTAAGATAACTTTAGAAGTTAACAGAAGACAGATGCATCTTAAGCTGCATTTTTTAACACTTCCACTATTATGTCCATTGCTTTCACTGTGAAAGAAAGAATTAAATGCCAGTAAGCCTTATGAGCCAGTGGACCCCATACTTTTGTAGGTCTATCATTCTCAAATTTCATTTGGATAAAGTACCTAGATTTCCTATAGTAAAAAAAAGATGTTTTGTCTGTTTTTTTGGTGCAGTCTGTGACTAGACATTACAGTACTCCAAGTGCATTTGATTACTTCTTTCAGCTTCCGTTGCCAGCCCTAAAATATATCCTATTTTCAGTGGAATGGAAATGTGCCTTATGACTGATCAGGGAGTGCAGGATGTGGCTTATTTCTAATCTACCTCCTCTTTCCACTGAAAGGGTTGAAATGGATGAAAAGATACCATAACTTACAGTTTGTTGATGATAATATTGTGGGGTTTTTTGCATAGTGCAAAGAGTGAAAACATTGCATCATGGATATTTTCATGTCAGGAAACTGGCCTTTTGTTCCTAGAAACTTGGGCAAACATCTCTCTCTTTTGATGGTTTTAGAGCTTTGAATAGAAAATAATTAAAGCCTAACAATGGTATTTAGTTTATTATATTACTGTGGCACAGAGGTGATGTGGCTACTATCACTTCCTATAAAAGAAATTTAAAAAAAACCCCAAAAAACAGTCTTGGCCTTTAAGAGTTTGCAACCTGATCATAAGGTGACATGGTGGACACAGAGGGAATGGTTTAGTGTGCCAAGCAGTGGAAATGACACAAGAGTGTCTCTTTTTAAACTTTTCCTAGCCATCATGGAGTGAAGTTCAGAGGATAATTCAGATCCTTGGGAATGGAGGGATTCTGTTTAGCTGTTGCTTCATTTTATTTTTTTCCCAAGTTACTGTGTTATTAAAAAAAACAACAATTAATTGAGAATATGAAGTACTGAATGGGTTTTTCCTCACATACATTTGCAGTTCAGTCAGCCCCAGAATTTTTCATGTTTGTTATTGTTCAGTTTGAATGAAGATGTTTATTCCCATAACGAAAAATGCTTCCTGTGTCCATCTACTTTTCACATTCACATCCTGTTTAATTGACAAGCAAGTCATTCCACATACTTGCTAGGGCTCTACTCTAGCTGTATGAGGCCCTTTGTAGCAGGCAACATCTGGAGAAAAAGATTTACAGTGTACTTCGATTCATAGAGATTATTCTTCTGATCCCCTTTATTTTGAAGGCTGAGTCCAGTAATTGTTAGCTTCAGTCTTTGAAGCTGTCATCTTATATAAAGTTAATGTTATACAGATCAATCCTGGAAAATTTTTATAAAGTTGATCTTCTGTTTTCGTTTTTAGAGAAGAGTTCTTAAAATTCCATCTCTAATAAGTAAAAATGTTGTGTCTTTTAGCTGTTATATTGATACTACTTATTCATACTTGGAAATTTCATACATGACAGTAACCTTGGAAAATGGTTTAAACCACTAAACTTTAAAACTAGCAGAAGGCTTCCAAATGTGAAGTAACTGTTTGCTTAAGTGGGTGAAAAGTGAAAGGCAATTTTCCACGTATGGATCAGATCTATTCATTACTTGCTTGATTTCCTAAGGAATGTCACTGGTCACTCCACATGTGAAGAAATCTAATTTTAGGTCCTCGTATTCAAGTAATATGAGTATAATAATCTGAGAATAAATTTATTTTAGCTGTGAGGATTTTCATTTGGATGCTTCTTGGAGTGTTCCTAGTAGCTTCTGTGGCTGCAAGCAGAGAGATCAGCAATGATGTAGTTATTCCAAAGGAGCTGTCTGTTTTTTTAACCTTCTAATGCACTAGTGTAATGAACTGTACCATTATATTGTGTACTAAACACAATGTATTTTATCACTGGAAATGTTGATTTTTTTTTTTTCCCCCTAATCTTAATTTACAGTGTTTGAGGATTAAAGTGTTATGAACAGAGTAAGTGATTTAATAGTGACATAATGTTATTCATCTTTATATGTCTGTAATTCTTCACCCTTCAGTAGACTGTAATATGTTTGGCAATAACAAGCTGTCGGGTTTTTCACTGAGGAGTGGATTTATGTTGTTGATTATAAATGCTAATCATTCCAAATGGACAAATAAAACACTTAAAAATGCTTTATTTGTGTAGAATGCTTCTGTAAAATGGGTCTTGGTTTTCTTCAGCAAGAGAGCTGACAAGTTTTCCATTGTGATTTCTGATAATTATGCTCGGCATTAACTTAATTGAATTGGAAGAGTATAGCTAACCAGTCCTTATTAAAAATACCTCAAAATCCATATGCATTAGGGCTTGTGCTATTGATAAAATGAATTTCTTATACCATTCAATATACACTTTGCTTCTTTCTGGTTTCTTGATTTGGATATTATTTTTTAATTTAGTAAAGGGAATTAAATTGTATTTCAGGACCAGTGATACAAAATTGTATCACTCATAAAACTAAGGTCTTATGAGATTTAGCTGAAAGCTAGGTTTGGAAACAGTGTTGTAAGGGTGTACTTCTGTTGTTTAAAGACCCCTTTATCTTGAATATCCTTTTGAATCTATCTTCAAACACCCTATTTTTGTTTTTTTAAGCTAAATTTTAGGGTTTGATTTTACAAGGAGAAATTCCATAGAGCTAGTTACGTTTCCCAGTCCATCATGCCAGTAGATATGACTTACCCAGGCATTATTGCCTTCCAGTAACCAGGTACGTGCTACCACCTACACAAGCACTGCATCAAAATCAATTCTGTCCCTTCTCTGCCACCCTACCTTTTGAGGTTAGACATGAGCAGTTGTCGGGATTTTTTTTGCTCCTGCAAAACACTATGATTCCTTTGCTTTAAAATTACAGGAGACTCTTTAGGCTCCTTTTGCAGCTGCCTCTTTGTATCTGTATCAAAAATAAATATCTACTTCCAGATTTGAGTGGTGGTGGTTTGCTTTTGCCTTGTACAATCAGTTTTACTGCATCGTAACAACAGGTTGTTTTCACTTAATAAATTTTCATTGGTTTACCTGGAGTTTCTATCCAGAGTCCATTTGCTGAGGGGGAATGGGTATTACAAAATTAACCATCATAATTATAGCTGTCTGATGATTTTAGCAGTATGGCCAAAGACAGACAGTGCTTGGAGACTTTATTATCCTCTCTTTGATGTTTTGGTATTTTTGTTTCTTTGTTTTTTGTTTGTTTGTGTGGCTTTTGTTTGTTCATTTGTGGTTTTTGGCCTGTGTTTTTTTGTTTGTTTTTGTTTGTTTTTAAACCCTTTGTAAGTACTCCATTCATACAAGTCTAGCACATGCTGGGAGTGGCAGACAGGCAGGTTGTAAAAATCCTCTAGTTTTGAAGACTTCCTAGGCTGGTAGTGGAATCACCAGGTAGCTTTTTTAGAATTCTGAGGGTAATGTGCATTGAAAAATCAGCATGAGCAAATTCCTCTTGCTGTGCTCCTTCCATTTATGCCCAAGTGTCGCTGAAACAATAAGGGTTGTGTTTCTAGAACTTGTGTTCTAAAAAAAGCCCAAAACGCCCACTAGTAATTGAGCAGAGGAAAATGTGTGCTGCAGCAGTGTTGCCAAGCTTTTTCTGTGTGCCAAGATACTTCTCTGTGGTTTTCATAATGGCTAAGAAAACAACTGTGAAACTCTGCTTTTCCCCTCAAGGAATCATATTTGGATAAGGTTAGAAACAGAGACACAACCCAACACCAGTTTTGTCAGGGGCTCCTGGTACCTTTGCAATGAGTGCATTAAACCTGACTCTTTTATGTACCCCAGGTTAAACCTGGACATGTCTCTGGAAAGCAGAGATGAAAGTATGCTAAAAGTATTTGTTGGAGTGTTGACTTTTTAATTTTTTTTAATGCTTTTTCTGTTGGTATCAAGTGTACCTGTCTGAGTTTCACTTGACTTAGTGCAGGAAAACAGTAATTTTTGGTTTTGCTGTGCTCACAGATGCATTTCAAAGACAATACTGTAGTAGAGGGGGGTTCAGTACAGAATTAACTTGAAGGTATGTAGCAGGAAACTGAACCTAGTGTGCAATATTATTCTAATTTTATGCAGCCATGGTCTGGGAATCTTTCATGGTCTAAAACAGAGGAGGTAACACCAAAATGACTATTAAAAAAACCAAAAAAAACCAAAACATCACCAACAAAAAAAACCCAGACTGCACACATGCTCCCAGATAGTATAGGGAAAAGTAAAGAACAATCTGGATTTAACTTGGCATCCTATGTTCAGTTTCTGCTGGAAAATACAGCTGTCTTCCTTACTCTTTTCCATGGACAATGATTCAGTTAAAAAGTTAAAGTGCCTATAAAGAATACAAGACTTCATTGTTGCTAAAAGCAAATGTTTATCTAATTATAGGCACTGCTGTTTCCCAAAAACAGTAGAATCAGAAAAGCTTAGAAAACATGAGAATAGGTTATGCAGCTGAAAGGCATGTCTGTGATGTGTGAATCATTCCTGCTCCAGCTTGCAAAAGATTCCTTCCCTGTGAGCATAGCAGCAGAGCTCTATGGGAAGGGCAAATATTTCTCTGTTACTGCCACCCCCCTTCCAAGTTTTTGGGAAGTTTTGTGTACATTGGCCAATCTGAGATCACACAGGAATGACTCTGTAGCCTCTTAGCTTGATTATATAGTGTTAACAGAGTCATTTGAAGGAGCAGCTGGCAAGGGCTAGCAGCAAATCTTGTTAAGGATGTCCATATTCCCTTCTGATGTGATTGCTCTTGTAGTGGGAGCAATAAATGGGAGTGTTCACTGGCAGGAGATCCGGGAGGTTTTGTGCTGAACGGAGGTGCACACAAATGGCTCAGTGCAGAGATCTGTAAAGCTTCACTGGGATGCACAAGGTCTCTGGCATAAGCTGTCTATTTCCTGTTCAGTCTAAGATTACTGTTTAATGGTACAACTGAATTTTTTCCTTGCTTTTCTTTCTTATGAGCTCAGCTGATCCTTTGTCCTAAATAAATTGTTTTGCCAGCATTATACGAAACGTGCTCTGTGCAGGAGGGCAAGCCTGTACCAGAAGGAGGAGGCTGAGAATACTCTGCTGATGATTCAGCCCATCTTGCTAGATAGACTGTATGTTTTTTGGGCCTGCCTTAGTAGAGTGCTGAGACAAAAGGCTGAGAGAGCTTCCACTTCTCTTTTGTAGGTGGCTATTCTATGGATTTTGAAACAAACAGCATCACTGCTTTTGTTTGTGATCTGTGTAATGGATGCAGGGAGATCATTCAGCCTTTCTTTCCAATTCAAGAAAAAAGAAAAATTCAAGAAAAAAATTGATACTGCAGAATGTATCTTGTATGTATTCAATTGTAGGATGGATTGAGTCCTTCATGAAACACCTGTGACTCTACCTTGAGAGATGAAGTACTTTTGTTAGATGAATGCTTTCATACAGATATATTAACGGTGAGCACCCAGTCCCCAGGCCAGTGGGAGTTTCTCTTATGATGTTACTTCACATAGGAGACTCATTTCAAATACCATAGTATGATAAAAATATTTTTTCTTAATATTAGTTCTAGTGGATCTCCACAACAAAAATTCCAGCCTCCCCATATGTAAATACATTCAGTACATACCTTGGTTTCATTCTCCTTTCCTGTTGGCACTTTTTAAATTGTTAATACTTAGAGATACCTGTTGCCTTTCTCAAGCAAATACTTAGCCACATGAAAATACAACAATTTTCATCTTTTGAACAATTGAATCTTTTTACCTCTGTATTGCAGCTAAGTATATTTTGTTGTGCTGAATCTGAATATTATCACTTCACTTGACGTTTATAATAAATAAATAAATAAAATTAATCTATGCCAAGATCTGATGCAAGGAAGCATCAGAAGGGCCATGTAGGCATCTAAAATTTCCTGTAGTGTTTTAGCCCCCAGGACACAAGTCACCTTACCTGTATTTTTCATTTCTCCCACACTCTCTCCAGCGCCATACAGGGTGGCAACCTGGGTAACATTCTCAATGGTTGAAGGTGGGTTTTTTTCTTGTGTGTAACAAGATCACTTTTATTATATAATCAGGCACTGGAATACAATAGTCTGGAGGAGATTCTTTCTTTTCCTTTGACCCATGTTTCTTTGGTATTTATTTATTTATTTATTCATTATTTTTTCTTCAAGAAGCCTGATGCAGAGAGGGTGCTTGGTTGGTTTTATTACATCAAACTTGATTACAGTAATTCTGTGTTTAGCAATCTCCCTGATGAGCATATACTACATCCTCAGATGCCTTTGAAGACTTCTGCTGGGTTAGTTATCTGTGCTAAATCATTTCAGAAAGCAGTTTCTCTGAAAAAGTAGCTATTTTCTGCTACAGTAATATTCTGATTCTAAGTGTGGTGGTGTTTTCTGCCCTTTGATCTTTTTGTCTTGCATTTTGTAACTGAAATATCTTTTCCTTCCAATTTCTACCACTTCAAAAGATGGTGGGCCACATTGCGCTTTAATCTGCAAGGACCTTGGCACCATGCAAATATTGCCAGTGTCCTCCACTGCAAATGAGAGAAATGTGTGTTGCATGTTGCATTTTTCTGATGCTCTAGAGACTCTCTAGGTTTTCTCTGTTGGCACAGTGAGTGCTCTGAAATCAGAATATAATGAATTTGCATATGAACCTGTACTGAGTTTTCAAAATGTACTCTTCTGGTTTTAAGTGATTATGGAGCACCGTGTATAGTCCTTTTTAAAAATTCACCATATTAAAATTCACTATAGTTTAAAATCAAATAATTAATAATTAAATTTATATAGTTGCCAGAGCTTTAAATGAATGGTGGATGGAGGTTTGGAGTACATTCTAATGTTGTTCCTGGGTTCACTTCACATGCCTCAGTTTCCTCACGAGGAAACACACAGGGATACCATGGCACTGAGCACCCTTGCTTAGTGGACCTGAAACAGAGCTGCTGCTGTAACTTCCTTCCTATGAAGACTTAATGCCTTAGTGGGGATAACGTTGATTGAAAGCTTGGTGTCACCTCCTGTTGAAATTGTGAGGAAATGACTGCCCTGAGAGCAAGCCACTGTGGGTGTGCCTCAGCTCTGCATTACAGCTGGTGGGGAAGGGGTGACTTTATTTTCATTTGAGTCTGC